GTTCCCACTAAATTCGCCAATTAGTCTTTTCTTTGAATTCTAAGCCAGAAAGTACCAGTGAAACAAACTCTCTGCTCTTTAGCTGAAATATTTGTGATGCTGTCATTTCAAATCTCATTCTTTTTCTCTCGTATCGTCTTTACCCACCCTAACACATCTTTCTCTGCTCAGTCTTCATACAGTCTAACATTTTCTCTTGTTTCCTGCACTCTGTCTCCTCAGACATGCTCCCTCAAATATCTGGTGAGACTTATGTCCAGTGCCACTGGTTCCCGAGGGGGTTAGGAAACATGGAGGATTGAAAATATGGGAGAACCAGTTTACACTCACACACACACTATTTTAATGGAGCTTATAAAAACTTTAATTTTAAAATGAAATGACAAAATGTTGAAATATACTGCAGTTGATACATTTTAGCAACTTCAAGCATCAAGGGTAGGATGTATTCAAAAATGGTAGCGACAGGGACACTGGTCTGAGCAAACGGACTGCGTGGCTGTGTGGGTAACTCTATCTGTGGAGGGGGAATACAGCAGCGGTTGGGTAATGGAAAGGTCATTTAGCCAATCCCCCAGGTAGGGGGGGCTGGTCTGACACGGCTCGTTTGTCACAGTTCAATAACTGCCACTCCAGGGAGTGTGAGGGGGAGACAAAAAAATGAGTGTGAGAAGGGTGGGATGTTTGTGTGTGTTGGTGTGCTTGTGTGCGTGTGAACAGCAACCCTGGTGTGTGAGAGTGTACTCAACCCATGGAAGCACAGCTGATTCCCAGGGCTTGTTCTTCCATTTGAGGCCTCAAACAGGGTCACAGCGAAGGCAAAGCACCACAGACTCAGACATGGAGATGTGAAAACTTGTAAGCCTTGACCTGGAAGGATTTTATTTTCCTTTCTAAGTGGTAGATGTTTGGTTCTCCATGAGGGAAATGTTACTCTCTTCGTGAACCCAAAGATTATAACTCAAGAATAAGTTCAAACTTAAAGCAGAGAGTTTGGATTAAGTAACAGAAGTAAGATAGGATGTGTATGTTTATATGCAGATGGAAAATGTGGGGATTTTAGATTTAAATTTCAAAAATTAGAAGTAATTAGTAATTTTAACGTTAATTTGGGGATTTTTTTCTTAGTTTTTCATTTAAAAAAATAAAAATTTCTGACTTTATTTATTTGCATTGCAGTAATAATGTTTAATCAAAGGCTGGGTTGCACTGTAAGGCCTTCTGTCGGATGCTTCAGGCACCAATAGCAAAGCAAGTAAATCTTCCTTATTTCCTTAAAATTCTTTAAAATAAATTGCAACTAGAGGGAAAATAAAAAATAATGCCCACAATATAGGCGTGACAGTTTTGGTGTCTTTAAATATATTTTTAAAGCATTTTTACATCTTTGCTTTTACTCGAACCTCAGTTATTTCATTGTTTTATTATCAATACTTTAAACTTGCTTAATTTATTTTTTTTTTTTGAAGATGCCTCTTGTTCATATGTTTTAACTGATAATTCATATGTTATTTATCCTTATATTTATTTTTCTGTCTGTTTTTTCAGCTTTTTTCTGTTTTTTGTTGTTGTTTCACTTTTTTTTTATTATTTGATATATTTCAGCGTTTTTTGCTGCCTTTGATTCATTTTTAGTTATCTGTGTTGTTCACCATACAAGGCAACTTCATAACCAACCAATGTGTTGTTTCACTACGTAAGCTGAAAATCTTTATTTATTTACAGAACTGTACTTTTTCAAAGATGCAAGCACATTAAGAAACCCGAAAAGAATATATAATCAAGGTAAATAAATAAAACAAAGAAAAACACTTTAGCCATCCAGGTGCCATTATTCTCAGTTGGCTGTATTGATTGGTACCGCTCCTTTAACATGTTCTTAGGTGTGTGACAGACAGATCTCTGGGCTTTGTGAGAGGCCCAAAGATTTTCACACATCTCATTGAGCGCCTGGTGAGAGACACCACAGTCTGTCCTTCCCTTCCTCACTTAGGAAATCAATAAGATGCTTCCATATGTGCTTATTCACGTGGATCACTTTCTTCCCTGAAAAATGCCCAAGGCATAGATTTGTATTCCTCTGAGCTGGAATGCAGTGACTTGGGATGCTGATGTCCATCCCTCCTTGGAGATTTAACAATTGCTGTCTTTGTGCAAACAGTGGGTTTGATCACACTGTTGTCTTTGATGTCTTGGTTTATGGCTCCCCCTTGTGGTTAATACAGAAAATTACAAAATCAGAGGAGTTGAAGGCCTGTGTTTATTTATTTTTTTATTTATCCTTAATTTAACCAGGTAATACCCATTGAGATTAAAAATCTCTTTTGCAAGGGAGACCTGGCCAAGATAGGCATCAAAATTACATCACATCATTACATACCTACAAAGACACACACATAAAAGCCAAATANTGATAGGCTGCGTCAATCATCTGCAGGCATTGAGCAGATGAATGCATATATAATATATCACCATAGCCCAGCACAGTTAAAAAAGTGGATGCCACCAACCATTTTTTTTACGTTAAAAGAAAAGCACAGCTTATTTCAAAAGTAAAAACCCAATTTTAGTCTCAACTTTCTCACTAGACAGTGAACATGAGGCTAGGTGGTCATCAATGACAATACCAAGATACTTATAAGTTGTAACAATCTGTATTTCACGACCATCAAGAGTAACCACCGAAGGAACATTCAGTGGCCTGTTCCAAAGGTACGAAGGTCTGTGAAAAGCATACATTTAGTTTTGTCTGTTTTCTGTTTCCATTCAGCCACTTAGAGAATTTCCCAAAAAGGTATGTTTTCTCCAAGAAGTGTGATCACCAATGAAGGAGAAGTTTTGATACCTCCACTGAGTGTCACTGCATAAATAGCAAAACTGACTAAAAGGGTCAAAACGTAGGAAGAGAAGAGAGAGTTGAAACACATGAATGACCAGTGAAGCAGATCTCAGACAGGAATACTCGAGGTGGAGAGAGTTGCCGCACCACTTTGGACAACTGCCTGTAGTCCTCTTAGATAGGTGTCTATTCATTACTTTTATTATTAGATGTGCACATTCTCACTTGCACAAGGAGTGGGTGGAATGTTTTTCAATGGGAGAAGGTTAGGGGTGGGCTCCTTTTTAATTGCTCAAGCAATTTGACTGAAGTAAAGACGGTTAATTGTTAGAAAATATACCCCCAAACCCAAAGTCATGTTTCTCAACTGGAAAAAGGTGGTTTTTCCCCTTCAGTTTGGAGGAGTTCAAGTATCTTGGGGTCCTGTTCACAAGTGAAGGGAGAAAGGAGCGGGAGATCGATAATTGGACTGGTGCTGCTGCTGCTATAATGCAGATGCTGCACCGGTCAGTCATAGGGAAGAGAAAGCTGAGCATAAACCAAAGCAACAAGATCCCAGATACAGGCAGTTGAATGAGCTTTCTCCACAGGGCTCTCCCTTAGAGATAGGGTGAGGCGCTCGGCCACATGGGAGAGGCTTAGAATAGAGCTGCTTCTTCTCCACATCGAGAGGAGTCAGCTGAGGTGGCTCGGACATCTTTTTGGATGCCCTTGGGACGCCTCCATCAGGAGGGGTTCAAGGCACGTCCCACCAGGAGGATGCCCAGGGGAAGACCCAGGACATGCTGGAGATACTATGTCTCCCAGCTGGTCTAGAAGAGACTATGACAGACACCTTGGGAACAGGTGTTTGCAGAGAGGGAAGTCTAGGAGTATGTCCTGAGACTGCTTCCCCCATGACCAGGTCTAGGATGAAGTGGGAGACGACGAGTACTATGAGTATGACTACAAGTTTACATAGCCATTAACGTTTTGGGTTTTATTACCTCTGCACTAATACTGTGATTTTTTTTATCAACTGATTTTGACAGCCTTTCAGGATTGGGAGGAATTTTGACCAAATTTTCTATTGATCAAAATCTACATTATCTTAGGAATTGATAAAACATCAGTTTCCCTGTTTGAGTCAGTAGCCCTGTTGCCTCCTGATTTCAGTTCTCAGGCTTGGGTCTCTCTGCACCAAGTCTGCATGTTCTCTCTGTGTATATCTGTTTTCCCTCTAGTACTCTGACTTCCTTAAAACGTAACGTAAAAAAAAAAAATAATAATTGTTATCAATCAGTTTGCTGGGATTGCAAAAGAATTAATTCTTTCTTTTATAACAGAATTATGGAATCATCTGCACCTATCTAAGTTACCAAGGAACAACATAGAACTAAGCCATCTGCTGCACATCATAAAGTGAACTTTACTTGTATATATGAAAAGGAACTTCAGCTCGACATTATTGGATGGTAATCATTAGTTAGGCCATCTACTCTAAACAGTTTGAATAAATGTATTAGGTTACGCCAAGCCATTGGGAAGGCTAGATGAAAGGATTTAATATTAAAACATACAAAACATTACTAAGGACTGCATGTAGGACTTATATAGGATTATGGATGCAAACTTCATTTGACATAAATGAAGAAAAGCAACAAGAAATATGAACACAAAAGTGGTCATTTTTTCCTGTGTGTCTCTTTCTCTCCATGCAACAAGCAGCTACAGGACATTAAGGGGGATGATTTTGTCCAATATATACAAAAAGTAATATTTACTTTTGACGTGGTCTATACCACAATATTTTTATTTATGAATGAAAGATATACAAGAGCAGTCAACAGTGAAAACTTTTGTTTTCTTAATAACCAATTATTGCAGTTTTTTTTTTTAACGGTAACATCAGTAACTTCAGAACTTCACTAAATTTCCAGTATGAGTGGATTAAAGCTGAGTTTAAGCAATACGTGAAGCAATTAAAGACACTGAAAAAACACACATATTCACCAGAAAGCATTTTCATGCAATCTTTTTCTGCACCAAATGATGGTAAGAGACACTGCGTTTCAGAAGCGGGGCTGAGCTGCCTGTGGTCAGTGACATCATGGGACGTAATCTCTTCCTCATTCAGAACACCAAGAGTGACTCACTGACATTTGGACAGCAGGAGGTCTGGAACACACATCAGCTTTTTGGGCGTCTGCACAGACTTAATCTGACATTTTGGTTTGTAGACATAAAAAAATCTTTATTGAAAAAGAAGTAATACAAGAGAAGGGCAAACTGAGGAAGTGACAGCTGAGATGGCTCCTTTGATGTTCAAAGACGCCTTTTGGGTAAGTCACTTCTTGTGGTCTTGTCAGTGCATTAACAAGGAAAATAAAAATTCACATCATACTTTTATTTAGTTTGAGAGTTTTATGTTAAATCTACTATTTTGCTTTTTGTGGAATGCTTAATTTTCTATATACTTACTAAAGTGAGGAACAAGGGGCAAATGGTCGTAATCCTATCTCAATCACAAGGAGTGTTCAAAATTACAACCTAAAGCAGCAAAAAACTGTTGCTAGCATCTTTATGGTCAGAACCTAAACATAGCTAAGTAGGTAATGTAGTAAAAATTTCACACATTAGTGTTTTTGCCGAGTACGAATGTTAGTTCTGCATTTTTACCTCGCAGAGACTCCAAGTTAAAGAAAGGACATTTTGTAACAGAAGTTGGGCTTTCCTTCTTGTTGCAGCTTTTCAGTGTGGTTTATGTATTTTATGAATGCAGGGGTCTGACTTCACCTGTCACGCTGGATACGACGCCATGATCCAGAGGCTACGGGAAGGGAGGCAAATGTGCAAAGATATGGAGGAACTTTTGAAGATGAGGTGGAATTTATTTTTGGGACTGAAACCAAACTGCAACTATTAAAAGTGCTGAGACTGTAAAATGATTCCAGTAGAATTTGTTTGTTCAGATTGTTGTTTTTAAGAATATTCAACATTTCACATGCCTATTTTCACCATGAATGGTAAACAGCACGGGCTTTTACAAAGATTCTTTGAATTAGGGCACTCCAAAGGACTTAAAACTGTTTGTTCCATCCACCCATTCCCTCACTGATTGTGGCAAGCTATATTAATGTCACTGCTGCCCTCGGACACACTGATAGCAATGCAGATGAAGTGTCTAGCTCAAGGACGCAACAACTCAGACGGGTGGAGCTGGGGTTCAATTTACAGTTGTGTAAGATGTCTAGGATATCAATTTATCAAAATAATCTAACTCATTTTCAAGAAAAGAGAAATAAGAATCAAAACTCGCCATTTGACTAAGAGAAGTGTGTGACTCATAGTCATACTTGAGCTGAAGTAGCCAAAACTCACATCTGCATGACTGTGAGTTAAAAACAGCAATGAAGATTGACGAAACAACAGCTTATACTTGTAAAATACTTGTACTTGTACAAGTACTTGTAAAATACTTGTACTTGTAAATGTAAAATTAGAGCTTAAAAGATTTCTGGAATGCAACACTCATCTCTGAGACCCTTTATTCAAATAATTTTGTTTATTTATATAGCAAAAAAATTTATCTAATGTAATCTTAAAGCACTTAACATATATAATCCAAAACAATCCAGTCATGCAGACAGTATTAAATACAGGTGTAACCATTCCAGTTTTATTGTAGCTCTAACACAGAGTCGTCACCCATTTGTTAAAGGTATTCTTTATTAAAGCCTAGATGAATGCATAGTCATTGACTTTGCATCACTAATAAAGTCTTTATGTTAAACATTAGTTCAAATGAATAAAGTAAGTAATGCATGCATTTGGTTAAGCTGCAGCATAAATCTAAATTATTTAAGCCATGCTATGTAGCTTTGATACATAACAAAAACTAATCTTCTGATCATGCACATTTTACCTTCTGTTTTACTCCGCAGGGCACTTGCAGAGGAGAAGTATGGGAAGGAACTGGTGACGATTGCTCGCAAAGCTGGAGGACAAACAGAGATCAGGTAAAAATTAGTAAACAAAAAAGACAATCGGTGCTTCTGAAACTGGGCCGCAATACTGAATACGAAACCACAGTGCACACTTTTGAGTCAGTCTTTTTTTAGAACAGCAACGTGTATGAGGCCCACAGGACATGAGCAAAAAAACTTAATTGGTTGTGCATGTCAATGTAACAACTTCACACTTTGTCTCTTTGCATACTGTAAGACATAACTTACCAGTTTCCTGTTCACTGTGATCAGTGGCAGGTAAAAAAAAAAAAAAGCTGCAAAGATGGATAAACTAAAACCAAAATTCTGCGTTTCACAAACTGAAAAGGTTTCATGGGCCTGACTAGATTTGAAGCTACATATTTTCATTTATTACTTTTGTATAGACTAAAAAGGACTTGAAGAAGATAAAATTGTTATTTACTTGTTTGCATCCTTTGACCCATCTGCAGCTACATTTTCAAAACTTAAAAAAGCCTATACCTAAAATCATCAAAAATTTAAATGCTATACAGTATATGTTATATTCATGTTGAAATATTTTAATCAGGCTTTGAGGGAAACAGCTGTACATTCATGACTATGATCTATTTTTTTAGCACTTTGAGGGCTTCCTTTGAACAACTAAAATCAAGTAAGTCTGGAACCCAGCCATAGCAACCTTTCCAGATAATGCTGGGACATAACGGCAGTATTATGATTTGCTTTTTGCTCTGCATTTTTTATTTACAGAAATAGAGAACATTGGAAACTTTCACATCCAATTATCTGATATATTGAAAGAGGAGGTGAAAAAGATTGAGACTTTCCGAGAACGTCAAAAGGAGCAGAGGAAAAAGGTACTGGGTGTTGCTTAGCAATCAGCTAACTTTTAAGTGGTTAAAAATATTAGTTGTCTAATTGATATTTTTACCTACACTTTGTTTCTTGCTTGATATTTCTAATGCTATTAAAATCTATTTGCAGAAACTTAGTGTAAGACTTCATTCTATGTTCTGAAGATAAACTCCTAGTGTTTATATCTATTTTTTCATAGTTTGAAAGCATAATGGAGAAGGTTCAAAAGAAAAAAGTTACCATATTCAAGAAGACCATGGAGGTATGTCACAAAAATAATTTATTTGTATATAAAACGGTAACTCCCTGGGACATTGCATTTATCCATTCCTTACCTTGCAAAACCAAAAGCATAATGCATTTTAAAGGAAAAATATAAAGAAATAAACTATTATTTTATATAAATAATTAAACAGAACTGAATAGCAAAAGAGGCCTTCTTTTAATCCTTGTGGTTAGTTGTTGCATTTGTTTTCTGCTTTCTCCAGTCTAAAAAGACCTATGAAGTAAAATGCAAAGAGGCTGACGAGGCAGAGTCAAATGAGAGAGCCAATGCCCAGGCCAAAAACACCGAAAAGGTAAAGTATAAACATACATCAGCTCATTAAAAATCAATTATAAAATTTTTTGGCAAGGCTGCTTTTTACCAAAGACTCATAGCAACACAATAAGATACAGATCACTGAATATTTTTAGATAAAAGCATTTTAACAAAGGTTTTACCTGGCTAGCCTACCTGGCTAGACTAGTTGACTGTTTAAATGCTGTTAGTCTCCATATAAAGAAGGGACACATCTATTCAGTTTATTTTGACAGATATGACATACCTGTTACTTCACTTCTAATGGCTAAGCTTAAAAATATTACAGATGAATTAAAGGGACTGCTTAGGTAGAGGCAAGTTTAGATTGTTGGGACAAAAGATGAAGAGAAAGGAAAAGCACTTTTATAATTAATGTTTAATAATTTCATTAATTTATATATATACAGTACATATATAAAATACTAAAAGATACAGTGAGGAGCAGTGGTGCAGGGTTTAAATGCACGTGACATAAATTAGTGGCCTCTGTTGGATTTGAAGGCCTCAGTCCTTCAGTTTGTTGTCAGCGGTTATTCCCCATCTCTCTCAGTCCTATTTCCTGTCTGATCACTTTTAAATGTAACACAAATTAAAGTTTCTAGAGAAAACACAACTATGTGATTTAAAATTACATTTCAGGCTTTGAACATTTTGCAGTGAACTGTACAATCCCTAATCTGAAAAAAAATGGCTTCACTGTCACCATAACATACCGCCCCTAAACTGACCGGCCCATCAGGAAGGGCAGAGTTACCTGCATTAATCCTTTGGTGGCTGTACAGATTGACAGAATAGCTTTTTAATAAGGTACTCCATACATTTGTCTTAAACAGAAAAAATACAAGATTCCCTGAATTCTTCAAACAGAGTCATAGGAAGTCCTCGTGGCACTTTAGCGTTACCAGTTTAAATTACTTTACAATGATATGAAAGACCTTGCAGGGCTGGATGTAAGAAAACCCAAAAACCCTTGAACACACCATGTCTATCATTGAACGAAGTTCTGGCAGCATCTTGCTGTAGTTATGCTTTTCTTCTGAGAGGATGGGAAAATTTGCCAGAGTTAATGTGAAGATGCTGGGAGGTTATTATAGCCAATCATGCAACACATGAGCCTGTAAAGCACTTGAGACAGGCTTTTAGGTTCACCTTAAACTAGCAAAACAATCCCCCATAATCAGTGAAAGCTGATGTTCACATCCATCTGACTGAGCTTCAGCTGACTGCAAGAAGAATAAATGATATCTAGATGAGCAAAACTGGAACTGACATACTTCAAAAACTTAGTCCATAAAATATATTTCTAAAAAGGATCAATGACGGGGAATAAAAAACTAAAGGCCAACATTTCCAGATTCATATTTGAACACATTATTGAAAATGATGTATAATTTTACTTATACCTCACAGTTTTGCACCAATTTATAAGCCGGTTAATGCAAAATATTATGCTATTGGAAAGTTTGTGGTGGCTATGTAACAAAATTTGAACGATTAAGGGGGTATTAAGGCATTTGCTAATCATGATATACTGAACAAGGAATGATGATAACTTAAATGAAAGGTGCAAGGCCACAGAGAAGGTTAATGGATGGTGAAGAGCATAATTTGCAAAATATTTTTTTGGGGGTGGGGGGTTATGATCAACCCAAACCTTGTAATATTACATTATTATCCATTTATAAGCGGGGGTTTTTTAAGGTTCTTTTCTCTACTTTAATTTGCCAGTAGAATTGTTTCATATTTAATAGTTGGGAAAATGTAACCCACCCGCCAATAATCTGGTACCATGTTATTGTGACTTTATATTCAATGTCCATCCAGGTTGGACACCATATTAATGTTATGAATAACTGTTATATTCAATTCCCATTCAGCTGGGAATTCATTTTATGTTCTGATACTTTAGGATGTTTATTGCCCTCGCAGAGGGTGGGCAGTGGGGGTGACATTGGTTCCCAATGTCCAAAACCACGATCATGGCACAAAACTACTACCCGGTTCCAAAACATTTACAATATGCTGTAATTTGCAGACAGCACTGCAAAATGCGCAAAATGTCACTATCAGATTGAAATGTATACAGATAAAGAAATAAAAATCTGAGAGTATCATTTATATGGACATAAGTAAGTGGAATAGAACTGTAAATCGGACAAAAAAAACTGTGAACATGCTGCTTGAAATATTCTCTTAACAATCAGCTAGTCAAATCATCATTAGGTAGAAAAAGAAATTCTAATATCATCCAAAAATTTACATTAGATGTTCNTATTCTCTTAACAATCAGCTAGTCAAATCATCATTAGGTAGAAAAAGAAATTCTAATATCATCCAAAAATTTACATTAGATGTTCAATTTTTTTCTTCTGCTTTCCATATATTTACTGCCCGCTCTGGTAATGAGTAAAAATTTAAATTTTTCAAAACATGGCACCAGGACTTTCTGTTGTTCATAGGAAAGTGGGGACCTTACACCCCATACCTAACAGAAAGAAAATGGAGATGCAATAAACTAGAGAGGAAGAAATTTAGCTAAAATAATTAGTTGCATTAAATCCTCCTTCAACTCCTCATAAGTCTATTCAATGACAGCTAAATGACTTTATCTAGTCTGTTAAAAGCCTCCTTCACAGCATATTCATAACGTTCCTGTTGAAAATGTGGTTCACAGGTGCGTCAAAGAGTCAAACAGTGTAAACAAGCTGCTAACGAAGCAGGTAAGATTCCGATTTTATAATCTGTTTTTTCTATTTTTTCCAGCAGTAAATAGAGCACAGTGATACTTTATTGCATTTAATGAACCAAACTTTTTTATAATTTTTGAAGTCATCTATCTGAGTTCCTCTTTGCGCACCATTTGTGTCACTGGTCGTTTAAATCTAGTTGGCTACAAAATAGCTGCAAACTACTGCATAATGTGTAGCACTTACTTCATAAATTAGGGAAACTGAAAAAAACTGAGAAAAGAAGAAGTGGCAGCCTTGAGTAACTACCCAAAGCGACTCATCTGTATCTGAAATGGGTGTCCTAAAGAAACAGGAAGAGAGCCACGATGAGACACAGGACCTGAGAGAAGCAAGCAAGCGTTTGTTGATCCAACTGGTGCATGCCAAGTTTCAATCAAAGGCACTTTCTAAATCACTTTTGGTTCTTGGCATTTTGTTAAAAGCCAGGTAAAGGAATGTAATAAGGTAGTCCAACTGGAAAATTGCTTAGATATAGCTTGATATATTTATTTACATGTGAAGTCCTTATTTCTAATTTTGATAACCCTCGATTACAGTAATATTTCTCTGACAAATCAGAATACCGGGCAACAAAAAAAAAAAAGATTTAGAGCTCAGCATTTCAATATACTCGACAGTAAATGGACTCAGCAGTTGGTTAAAGTCCTTTTGTCTCAATACCTGAATCAATGTGTTGAGATTAGAGAGTAGAGATGCTTTACATGATTATAAGTAAAGTCTAAAGTATCTACAGTAAAGTACAAAAAAATCCTAAACATATATATTTTTTTCTGAAAGTTACTAAAACTATTCCACTAGTTATTACCTGCCACTGTTTAAAGCTGGTTGAGTTTGCTGGTGTGACTTTTTTAGGCATCAACTATCTATGTAGCTGCTTCAATTGCACCAAATCTGGAGAAGTTTTGACTTGATTGTCGCTGTTCAACAGTCTTCAGAAGAGAATGCTTTTCGCTTGTCCATGAGATTTTTATACATTTAAATATTTGTTCTTCTGCAATGTTTTCCACTTAGCTTTAACTTCTTTCCGTTAGAGTTATAGCCATTTGGGAAAACCTTTTTAGCATTGACAATCTCACCTTGCATTAGGAGGGTTTAAGTAACTGTCTGCCGGTCAACTGTCAAATCACTCTTCCTCATGATTTTGCAAGCCATAACATAAATCTAATACAACATTGTTTTACCAACTGGCTACTGATTATCAGTCTATTTGTCTTGTACATCTATGTATTAGACTTGAACTGAATCTATAAAATAAAATAGCTTCCCAAAGATTATATAGTTGTTTTATATAGTCCCTGTAACCAAAAGCCTACTTTCACAGTTGACTGCATAGTTTTGCTTTTAGGCTTCACCCACTACAATATTCTGATTTCCTTGCAGAGAGGGTATATTTGACCAACATTGATCAGCTTGAAACGGTTCGTCGAGACTGGGAAGAGACCCACAAAAGCACGTGTGAGGTACTGCAGGTTCTTTTTAGCATTTCTTTAACCTTCTGCATATCCGCAATAAGAGCCTAACTCCAAGGCTAAACCTCAAACCACAAACCGTAGCAAAAATAAAACCCTTCTATTGCTGTTCAATGAGAAATTTCACTTCATGTTGCATGGAGCACAAAAGCTGAAAGTATGCAATGATTATCATAAACGAGAAGTACATATAATTTATGAAGTTTTCCTATATCCTGTTGTGTGTGTTTGATTGACATGTACCTTGCTTATATCATTAAGCTTCTCAATTCTTGTTTCTTGCATTTTAGGTCTTCCAGCAGCTTGAGGGGGACAGGATCAACATTCTTCGGTGCGCCCTCTGGGATCACTGCAACCATTTCTCCTTGCAGTGTGTTAAAGATGATGAGGTGATTTTTCTATCTTAATCAGAAAAAAATTGCAAGAAAAAAAAAATGTCCTGCTTGGCTTCTATAAAACAGAGCATTAAAACAGACACATTACTAAATCTCAGCTGCGGTACATTACACAAAGCAGGTTTAAAAAAAGCTCTGAATCAAATCTTCAATTCAAAATTGATCTAGTCTAAGGTTGGTACTCTGAGTTTTCCGTTTCATAAAAGCTTCTGTGATGATTTCACCTAAATAGATACATTGATCTACTACCATTCAAGAAATAATCCCATAATATTTTTTCATGGTAACAACACTATGCCAAGCTGTTTTGATATGTACTAGTTTTATGGAATATGTATTCCATCTAAAAAAAAAAAAAGGAATTGTCTAAATGACCATTTCAAATAAACATTCTGGATATCTATAATTAAATTTTAAACATTAAAAAATGTTTTTCAGATATCATCAATGCATTTTCAGTCAAGCTGATAAATGTCAGAATGGCCAATTAAAATGTGTACATTTCTAGATATATAAAACTCCATTCTTACTAGTATCTTTTTCTTTTTTTAATTTCTAAAATTCAGTTTCTGCAACAAAAAATGTAATTTAGAAAATATAGTATTCCAGTTGGGTCTAGTAGTGGTAGTAGTGATTTTGATCAGAACGAATCTTATTTTAGTGATCTACAAATGGAATAACAGAGGGGAGTGTTTTTAATAAATGTAAAGATGGCCTGCCATAGCCCACTTCATATAAATTTACCAATTAACTCAAGCATCAATCTTCACCTTTACCACCTTGCTCTTCTTTGTAGCTGTAGTTCTCTGTCTCGTTCTCCTTTTCTTTATTTTTTTTTGTTTGTATTACATTCAAGTGGGATGAAATAAGTACTTCCTGTTGCCTGTTGTCATAGTGAGCTGTTGAATTGGTGCTCCACTGATGATGGCTCTTCAAACTTGTTGTGCACGTGCTACACTCTGAGTGGACCTAGTTAAAATTGATTAAACTAATTGATAGCAGCCGTTGTGAAACCGAACACTCAGAGTTCCCGACTTTTTAGAGTTACGGATTTGAATCTAAATTTTTTTAAACCTGCTTCATGGAAAAGACCCCTGGTCCTGAAGACACTCTGCCCTGCATGTTTTAGATCAGGGGTGGGCAACTCCAGTCCTGGAGGGCCTGTATCCTGGAACCTTTAGATAGGTCCTTGACTTAACACACCTGAATCAAGTAAATAGATATTTAAAAGGACTCTGGAGAAATTGATTGCATACTGGGGTGGTAATTCAACCATTTGATTCAGGTGTGTTGGATAAAGGATGAATCTAAATGTTGCAGGAAACCGGCCCTCAAGGACTGGGGTTGCCCAACCCTGTTTTAAATCGTTCTTTGATTCAACACACCTGATTCAGATGATTGCAGTGAAGCAAACCATGTTAATCCGCTATCAACTGATGTCAGGTGTGTGAAAGCTGGAAAACATTAAAGACATGCAGTGGAGTGTGCCTTCAGGACCAGGAGTGAAAAACACTAGTTTAATCAACTCTAAGTGGGTCTACTCAGAGCTGAACACGTGCGTAACAAGTATGAAAAGTCATTATCGGTGGAGCACAGATTTGACATGTCAACATGACAACAGGCAACAGGAAATGCCTGTTTTAGGTCACTGGAACAAGTGATTTTAATGCAGAAATGAAAGACATAAATGGAGAATGTGTTTAAAATACAGAGAAGCAGCGCTACAGCTGCAAATAAGAGGGAGATGGCGTAGAACAGGCATCCCCAAACCTAGTCCTCGAGGGCCGCTGTCCTGCAGGTTTTAGAGGTTTCTCTGCTCCAGCACAGCTGATTTTAATAGATAGTTGATAAACAGGCTTTTGCTCTACTGCAATCATTATAATCAGCTGTGCTAAAGCAGGGAAACCTCTAAAACCTGCAGGACAGCGGCCCTCGAGGACCGAGTTTTGGGATGCCTGGCGTAGCACAAGACTGCTGATCGAGTTAATGCTTAAGTTTATTTGACGTGGACTATGGCAGGCCGTTTTTAAATTTATTCAACAACTCTCGGTTGTTCAGTTTGTAGTTTACAAAAATAAGATTCTTCCTGATAAAAATCACACTCCTTGACAGAACTGGAATAGACTTAACAGACTTCCTAAATTACATTTTTGATATAGAAATTGAATTTCAGAAAGTTAAAAAAAACTAAATTGTACCAGTAAGAAGTAATTTTCATATACCTAGAAATTTTTACACATTTAAAGTGGCTGTTTTGACATTTATGAGCTTGACTGATTATGTATTCAGTCAATGTATCTATTTAGGTGAAATCATCCACCAGCAGGTGAAGATACAGTCTAAAAATGTTGATTTTTAGTAAAATCTTTTAATAATATGCACTATGTGCAAAACTATGATATATCTCTGCTGATTAAATCAGGAAATAAAACAATGTGATTGGCTTGAAGGAGAGCAGAGACAGAGGACACTCTGACTTTACTGAACAAAACCTGCTCCTGACCAGGTTAGCTCTGGGGAAAATGTTACTACCGTAAGAAAAACCAAGGTTGAGTCAACTCTTTTTTCGTGAAACAGAAAATTCAGTTACCCTGATTTTAGGTTTAGAAAACTTTCAGTAAACCTGCTCTTTGAAACGGACCCCAGCAAACAACCAAGCTGAAATGTTTTTTTATTGTCACCAGTTCTACAGCATTCATCTATGCTATTGTCAAACAATTAATTCTTCTCTTTTCAAAATGGTTTCAAGAGTTAGCAAAGTAAGAGAGAAAAAAGACGGACAAAAACTCATAATATTTTGCCATTTATTAGCCTTTATGAAGTTCAGCCCATGATTTAACAGCTTGTAGCCCCTCCATCAGAGGCAGTAACTCAAAGTTGTCAAGTATTCCTTTGATTCTTGTTGAGGAATTTTTGTGCATCCAGTTCACAGCATTTTACAGTTTACCTTTGAGTCTATATTCAAGGCTATCTTCATGTTATAAACCATATTTTTTCTGGGGCACAGGAATGAACTTCGACTGGGCCATTGCAGCACCTCAATTAATATGTATTTGAGGCATTTTGTGGTTAAGTAGCGGCCAAACATCTGTTCTTTTTTGTGTGACCAAATTTGGGCAAAGCATAGGTTGCTACATAGAGAGGCTTTGCCCAACTTGATTATTTGATTTACATAGGTGCTTTGGTTAAATAAATGACTGCATGGAACCCAAGCCCTTTTTAAAACAAACCAAAATGTTCAATTATCTACCAATGTATTGGTGTGAAGAGTTTTGCAAGCATGTTATGCATATTAGCATATGCATATTAGCTTTTTTATCCCCTGCAGGGGGCTGTTGCCTATTTCCAGTGGTCACTGGGTGAAAGTAGAAGGGATCACAGGGAAACCAGGCATCTAGACACACCGGAGCATGCATGGACAGTTCAGAGAGAGCAACTTGTCTCTTATGAGTGTTTTTGTTTGAATCAGAGAGTATGCATGCATATAGACAACATGCAAGCTGCATCCAAAAAGAAGACCCTATAGGTTGGGATTTCTAGCGAGGGTGTCTATTTGCACAATCTGCTGTGCCGACTGCTTTAATAGAGTCCTACATGTGTTTAGATGAAGGGTAGTGTTTTCATCAGCTGTTTCACTTTGGGCAGAGCATCTTCAGGGTGATTTACAGAGTTAGGTCACTGTCACACAGCATATATGTACGCTAATGACTGAAACCTTTGTCTTATCAGATCAGAGCAGTTCTGTTTTTTACATGTTGGCTCTATTCCTCCTAATGCTTGTGGTAAACATGACATGATTTCTCGTGGCTCTTTGTCAACTGTGGCTATCTTTCTATTTTCAAGACTTGTAGATGTTTTTATTTTGTAATCTAACATTCAGACAGCAGCTGAATCGAAACTGAAATTACCCAAAATACATGTGGACTAATTAGGTGATTTCTGAAAGAAAAAAAAAAATCGTGTTTAGGATCATAGGAGTGAAAATGTTTCCAAATAAACACCAAATATGTTAGACAAGTAAAGAAAATCAGGATGCCCTTTATAGTTTTCCAACCATGTCAGAAGTATACAACACTTTGCATCGATGTATCAATGACATGAAATCCTACCAGAACATGCTGTTATTTGTGGTTGTTATCTGACAAAATATGTAAAGGTTCAGAGGCTTGTGTTCCCAGTGACAGGCTCCAACAGGGGGTTCGTTTTTATATAAAACAGTTAACCTTTGATCAATTATGTTATTTCATAGAGAAGCACTTCATCCCAGAAACTTTCACATGAAAGCTGGACTTGTTGAATTGATTTTAAACAGCTTTTTGCCAATATTGCAACGTCTGAGCTACGTACAAAAGTTGAAAGAAAAAAAGAGTGTTTTGAAGTTGTATTTCTCTCTGCAACGTTTCTTCTCTCATTGGAAGTGTCTTTCCTGTGTGGCTTTGAGTTGAGACACAATTTAAGAATCACTAATCTACCAATCTACAAAACGGGTTCGATTGAATTTAACCTGCTTTGAATTTAATCAGATTTGATTGACACCTAGTGTTTATTCACAATTTTGATTTTTAATAGAGTTTGGAATATTGTTCTCATTTACAACATTCTTTTGTTATTTTGGCTTTTGTTAAATGAATGATAGTTTGATTTTCACACGATTAAGAAACAGTTCAACTGATTTTTTTTTAGATGAAATGCAATAATCTAGAAAAAAAAAAAAGTGACTGAACCTTTCATGTTTGCCAAACATAATTCTCTTATTGTGTATGTGGCCTGACAGTACACCAAGATGTTGTATCTTTACACATTCTGACCTTTTCTCTTCCACTCGAAATAAAAGACTGAACGAAACCCACAGCAGAGCATGTTGGTTCATACAGAAACACGGCTCAGTTCTTATTTCCTGTTCCTTGTTCTAACTCAGCTCTACGAGGAGGTGAGGAAGATTCTGGAGGTGTGTGACATCACCACAGACAACAACTGTTTTATAGAGCTGAAAAGAACTGGCTCCAAGCCACCAGGTGAGCCAAGGAAAAGTTCCACACAATATGAAGAGATTTTAAGAGCTGCACCCCATCTTTCTTTTTCTTTCAGTTTCACACCACGTCTATGAACACTCTGTAAATAAATAACATCTCTTTTCCATTAACAGATCCGATAGTGTTTGAAAGCTACTGCCCATCCGGAATAAAGAGGAACAGCAACGGCCAAGCTTTTTTTTCTCAGGAAGATGTTTCAAGAAGGTGGGGAACTATAATTGCATTATTGTGCACTGGAGCTCACTTTAAACTCCTTTAATCCCGTATCAGGATGTTAATGAGGAAGATACTATGAGGATCCTAAAGGTCTTTGTGTTTATTCTGATCACACAGGAGTTCAGATCCTCTAATCAGAAGATCTGTTAGCATTAATGCTGAAAGTCTCTCCTTTTCACAACCAACCCTGGCCTCGGTGGAAGAAAGTAAGCACAGCTATCCTATTTTTAGATTTACACCTCATATGTCTCTTTGCAGTCATATGACTTATTCTACTGATGCTTAATATAATAGAAAAAGACAAACATTTGTTTCACATTTGTTTCACAAACAAAACATGCTGTTGTTGAAACAAAAAGCTGTTACTTATCTGTAACATTTTTTGTTTTTCATTTTTTAGCTTCTTCTTTAGGTGAAACATCAGATAATGGATATGCACCCCTTCCTTTATTATCCACAACGCCTGCAGAAGAACAGTTTTATGTTGTGCTCTATGAGTACAAAGCACAGGTGATTCCTAAACAAAACTAAACTGAACAACAATTAGTTCTGTATAACACCATTAATCTAGTATATTTCTATTTTTTACCTAACAGGAGCAGGATGAGCTATCTGTGAACAGAGGTGACATAGTTCAGGTCCTGGTGAAAGGAGCAGATGGCTGGTGGACGGTGGAGAGGCATGGCTACAGTGGCCTGGTACCGGGAAACTATCTGGACAAAATCTGAACCCATATATTGACTCCAAGCAAAACTATAGACATGTTTCAGCTTCATGCTGCCCTAAATTTCTGCTTTTATAGAGGTGTAGTCAAAGTGTTGTTAATTATGTCACTGAAACCTATTTATTGTCTCTAACAAAGGAGGAAAGTTCCAGACTCATTTAGACCGTGGAAAGGTTTTTAATCCTGAAACATTTAGAAACTGGCTCTGTTCTTTAGTTTCCATCTTCAGACGTGTCTGTTTTATGGTTAAAAGCTCTACAACTATGATTGCTTTCAAAAGCAAATTTCATGAAAACCTGTGAGCACAAAGGTGATAATACTAGTTTCTACTTTCTTTAATAGTTTAGATCTGCTTAAATTACATTTGGGCCCAGACAAATCAGTCCAGTGCATTTCTTGACTGGGCAGGACATTCTGCGTTGGTAATCCTAAGAAAGGGACACTTGAAATTAGTTTTAGAAGCTTTATTCTTTTCAACAACTATAAACAAACATTGTTTAAAAAAAAAAAAAAAAAAAAAAAAAAAAAGGAAACTACTTATTTTGATTATCTGGTTTTGAAAACCTGGTAATCATTTCTGATGACCTGTCATACAGACCAATATCAGAATTTCAGCACAAATAAACAACTGAGGTCGACTTTTTAGCATTTTAAGCTGATGATGAAGTACTGTGGGATGTACGTATCTGTCTGCATGTTCAATTGCCGTATTTTCCACACTATAAGGCGCACCAGACTATGAGCCGGATACAAGCTACAGCAGTGGCTGGGGTGGCGTTATGCATCCACTAGATGCAGCTGCACTGAAGAAAATGTCAATAAAACATTCAGATAAGGAACTCAAACTTTATTATTATGTTATTTACAATATGACCAACCTTCTTCAGTTGTAAACGAAAAAAAAGAAACAATTAAACTTCAATTTATCCGTTCATTTCTCACAACATATCCCTAAAATTCTCATTCTTCAGTGTCCAAATTGAAAAGTTAGGCTAACATGGAATCCAATGTGCTCGGCTCTGTCTCGTCAAAGTCGTTATTATTTGAGTCAATGTCCCTGCTGTTGTCCTGCCTTCCTGAAAGGTCAGACCACAGTTGAAACTGATATATCAGCCCAGGCATTAATGATCCATGCATATAGTGGCGTATGGCGTTCGGAGCAGTCTCCCCATCTTGGTGAACGTGTGTTCATCCTCTGTCATCCACTGCTCTATCCAACCTACTTTGTTCCCTCCAAACTGTTTATTCTTTACTTGGTGCAGGTCATCATCTTGCTTCCTCCACTTCCACACCATTGATTCATTAATACCTAACTCTCTAGCTCAGCGGTGGGCAATTCCAGGTCCTGAGGGCCGCTATCCTGCAACTTTTAGATGTGTCTTTGGTTCAGCATACCTGAATCAAATAATTAGATGATTGAGAGGACTCTGGAGGAAGTGACTGCACATACTAAGGAGGTAACCGAGCCATTTAATTCAGGTGTGTTGGAGCAAGGATGGATCTAAAATTTGCAGGATACTGGCCCCCAGGAACTGGAATTGCCCACCCCTGCTCTAGCTGCTGCTCTGTTCCCATGTTTTATTGTGTAACTGGTAGCATTGAGTTTAAACTCAATGCTGTCAGCCATTATGGGGTCTTAACACACACAATTAGAAATGAAAATTCCAAGTATGCACCGCACGCTACTTCTTCTAAGGGAGAAAATGGAGTCGGCGGCTGCTCCCCGTAGTTGTGAGACCTTTTGAAGCTCAATCTTGAGCCATACATAGGACACACCGGATTATAAGCCGCACAGTCGGATTTTGAGAAAATTTAAGGCTTTTAGGTGCACCTCATAGTTTGGAAAATACGGTGCTGCATTTTTTTCTTTTTATTTTCCTGTAGGTTATGTAGTGAATCCGTTATTAGCACAACTGCAAACTGTTTCACTTGTATTACCAGTTCTCTTCGTCAGTTTAAGAAACAGCTGCAAAATAGTTTGTGTTAATAGTAAATATAATGACTGTAAGCTATTTGGATATTTAAACAGTTCCATCTTTTAAAGCAGGGCTTTTTAAAACATGCTGCAAATATAACTCATTTGTTTTTAATGTATTTTCTACGTATAAAGTATAATGGATGAGTAGGTAAATAAAAGCAATCCAGATGAAATATTTGAGTTTATTTGTCTCCTTTGTGGTTCGGGGTCAAATACAACTTTTAAGTGCCTCGCATCTTTGTCTTACAGGACTAGTCATATTTATGGGAGCGACGTAGCAGCTCGAATATAACAGTACACAATTTCACACACATGGTAGAAAATATCATTTCAGGTCTTTGCATTAGGTTTCTAAATAGGAAAACAAACTTTAGGCTAAAGCATTCATGTAACACTGCTGATGATTCATACAAATGCCCCTGCAGTTTATACTGCAGATGGCTCACTAGTAAAGCCTGATTCAGAGAATGTACGGCAAAAACATAACAAGAAATACACTAATTACAAAACTAAATATCTAAGAACAAAAAAAGAGAGGATATATAGCTGCAACAAAACAGATAGAAACAAATGAAAAACTTTTTGAGTCAGTCATAATCAATGGTCTAAAACACTGTATGGTTATAAAAGCCAAAGAATAGCTTATTACAAGTAAATAACTAAGTGTCTTAAGGGCTTCAGTCCTTGTGCAAACATTCTCTTTAACACTTCCAGTTACATTTTCATTGGTGAGCTCCAACAAATCCTCACCCTAACTGGATGAAAAGAAATTTCAACACAAGTAAAACATTTGCAAGTTATTTCAATTATCAGCCATGTACAGCTTTGGCTTTAATAAAGGGCAGGATTCAGAAGACTAAAAACCAAAAAACTGGAACTCAGTTTTATTTATTTAAAAAGCTTTTTTTTCTCTTCTCTTTAGACCTTCACCCACTAAAACCAAATTGCTAGTGTTCGCTACTTTATCATGAACTGTGCAAGGTGTGCTTGAGTAAGTACGGCTGAATCTAGTGTGAACATGTCGCGTGAAGCTCCCAGAGGCTTTTTTTTTTTTCTCTTTGTTGTTGTTTTGTTTTACTGATAGCAGTGTTGGCTGGGCTGTGTCCTTTAAGCATAGCTGTTAGTGGTGACCAGCAGCTCGTAGGCTGGATCATGACTCCTCCTGCACAGCACCACACAGGCACAGAGCATGCCCAGCATCTGCAAGCAGGAAACACACAAGGTCATCGTAAAAATGTTTGTGGCTCAAAGTATCTAATAAAAACACACCCACAGAAGAAAAGTTAAAAAAAAAAATGAAACACATTGTTATTCCCGAGATGTTTTTTTAAACCGTTATTTTAAGTCTGGATCCTTGGAAAACAGGAATTTGGGGTTAAAGGAAGTTTTGCATTAATACATTTTGCATGATCCATTTTAATGTATAAATTAAACCCAACAGAAGTCTTTTCCCATTAATAGTGTCACATACACTGTGTGGACCGCCTTTAGCTGTGAATACAGGAGCTTCCAGTGTTGCATTGTTTCAATGCAATGTCACCAGATTTATTTCCACCAACTGCTCCATTAGATTAGTTTTCACCAAGATATGGCCTTTTTCAATTACTCCGAAGTCCAATCTTTCTGCTCCTTGATATTTTTAAGCCCTTTTTCCCCAGTTATCTTCACTAATTAGTGGTTTTACAGCTACACAACTGTTTGGTTCCAAACACTTGATTTCCCTTCGCATTGTCATTATTGAACATAGCCCAGAGTTCTACTGTTGTTTTTCTTCAAGTGGATTTCAAACGTTTTCTGGCTACATTTCTTTCCTGAAGACGATGGGTCCCCTCTATCCTTCCAGTTTTTAATAATGAGTTGAACAGTTCCAAACCCAGCATAGGTAGTTTCTGCAAATCTCCTAAGATGTTTTCTCTAATTGATGCATGTCAATGATCTGACCCTATCTTAAACAGACCGACATCTTTTTCATGACGGGATGTGTGGTTTTAGAAATGGGAAGCAACTCCAAGCACCAGTTGGGTTAATTAAATAATAGATTATCAAATGGGAGGCCCATAGATTTTTGCTTATTTAAATCCAGGTGGTGACTATTCTTTAGGCAGGGCAGTGTATAATCAGTACAACTCACCTTAAAAAACACATATCTCTTAAAAGGAAGAATATTTCAAAAATAGATAATCTGCTTTAGCCAAATTATAGTGAATCTGATAAACACAAACAAAAATGTTTGTGCCCCATGTTGGCTTTTTAGACATTTGTTTACAGACTACCATCAATAACTAGATAAGTTATGACATTGCAGATGCTTAATGCTTCTGCAAATGTACAGAAACGTGTCAATGAGATAACAGCAGCACTGAAGGAGTTTCTAGTTAAGTTCTACGTGTGAAAATAACTTGATCTATTTCCCATGTGTCAAATAAGAATACATTTTTCCAAATACCCTTGAAAAAATCTCTAAAAGTCTTGTGGGAGAAAGTGGGAGAAAGCCAAACTGAAACTTCTGGCCACAATCCCAAAATGTAAAATATGACATAAAAAAAACAGTAAAAACAAACAAGAAAATGTAACTTTGAATGGGCCTGGACTTTTACTCATATGGATGAAACAGTCGTGAATTATTAGAACGGGAAAGGGAACCCGCTTGGCAAAATAAAGTTAGAATTTTTGTTTTTCCTACATTTATTGTGTCATATCTAACATATGACACAATAAATGTAGGAAAAGATTTGAAAGACTTTATCAAATCCTTTTTTTCTACATCAAAAAAACTTTCCAGGGCATGTGCTTCTCACCTGTATTGATGCAAAAGTTAACGCCGCCCATATGACATACATCATGATCTCCTTCAGTTTCTTCACCACAAGAGCTTCACAGCCCTAGAGGGAAAATGAATGACATCACATGGGGTTTAACTTGGAGAAGAACTTCACTAAGAAAGCCTACAGTACAGAAAGTAAGAGGAATACACCAAGTTCTCTGTAAATCACTTGTGTGTACCTCTTGGTAGAGATCGCCTGGCCGGCTCAGAGTGCCGGTGCAGTTGCTAATGTTGGGCTGGCAACAGCTCACTGGGACGCTGTTATTCTTAGACTCTTTAAACCACAGTGTGTTCCTCCAGTCAGAGTAGTTGTGAATACCACAGCAGTGAAGCTAGGGGCAGATTATCAAAAAAATAAAAAATAAATTTAGCTTTATTTTTCTTCACTTTTTTTAAAATACTAAGGATAAAGCCATAATCTGCTGAATTTTGCATATTTCCTCACCTGCCTCTGCACATAGTCAATAGCCCGACTGGGGGCGTCAGTATTGGGGCCGCTGTACTCATTGTAAACCTTCTGGATGGAGTGATTCACCTCATCCTCTACCTGTAACAGTGAGGCAGTCCCCACCAGAGAATATATCAGCAGAACTGACAGAGTTGTTGAACATGATGCACTCTGTAACACTAAGAACTGCCATCTTTAGCCCACATATAGAAAAACAGAGCAGGAATAGAAGCCTGTGCTTACCTTTGCCCTGTAAATGTAGCCGAGAACAACCACCACACACTCTGTCACAAACACCAGCAGAAGGATCACAGCAAACTGAAATGGCGAGAAGAGAACGGTAGAATTAGTCACCCAAAATCTGGTTTATAGACATACATCAGATGGAATTTGCAAGTCTTTCATTTAGATTTAAAGCAAGTGACGGACAGCATACCTAATAGGACTCCTCCTGTCTAAATATTACATGTTTCTTTATAAGGATCAATTCACACTGTCCCAATTTAGAGTCTTGAACTTGAAGTTAAATGTTAAAGGTCATTTATAAAGAAGAGTAGACAATAATTATTTAGCTTCAAATTTCAATCAATTTTAGGATTTAATATAAGCAGATTGTATAACTAAGATGTTTTTATTTATTAAATGGTTTCTTCGTTTTATCTTTTTAATTGATGAGGAGCAATGGGATTTGAACAATGAAGTATTAAAGGCAGCAGCAGCAACTACTGTTTGGGGAGAATCAGAAAACCTATTAAGGTATAACGGCTGATGGGGTTCCATCATCATGGTGATGGATGTGGCATGCATATGCATTCTGCCCATTTGAAGAATTCATAATTCAACATTGTATTCAGATTTCAGGTGGTAAGCCAACACAGAGCAGCACACCATCGTCCAGAGGAAGGACATTGATGCATGTTTTATGAATAAAGACAGGCCAGGGTTAAAGGTGCTCAAAGCTCTTAGAGACATCATCCAAAAAGACCTGAATCTTTAACACGTGAAGAAAGGTGGTTCTACAAACTACTATATCTGGGAATTTAAAACATATTCACGATGAACAGATTTCTTTTGTTAGATAACATTAAAAACAATAAACTATGAGTCATTTCCCTTCCAGTTCACATTTCTGCTCTACTGTATATCTGACTCTAATATAGACTGCAGTCTGTTGTTTTTATATGAATATGAAAAGGTTCAAGCTGTATTTAGTTTTACAAAGTAATGTGCAAGAAAACTCATTTTTCAACAAGAATATGAATTTCCTTTATTAAAATGTAATCATTTCACTCTGACCCTGGTTGACTGTAAGGATCCTTGAGTATTGGTTTATTAGTAGCATTACTCGGGGCTGGTGGCTTACATCTGCAAAAGGCTTTTCACATTCCTCATTTATCTATAAACAAGTTTAACCAAAGTGTTTCTAGAGTGCATCAGCTGGTAGTTCATGCTACCTGGAAAAACAACAGAAAACCCAGCAGCAGCCCCTCCTCAAAGACCACCCATTCAGTCATTTTTCTCACTTTTTAAGAGAAAATTAAAAGCTCAACTTTTACCGAAGAAAAGGCAGATACATTGAATTTCTATATCACACACACACACACACACACACCACCAAAAACAGAATTATAAACAAACAGCACAACGATAATTATTCTAGCAACACCACTAACTCAGCTTTGCATAATTAACCATCAATAATTAAAACAATGTTATTTATCATAAATGTTTTTTTTTTTTATTTACCTCCCAAAAAAACAGTTTTTGTAAATATTGACAATTATTTTAAACAGACCACTTCTCTCTGGAAAAGGTTTTAATCTAAATTAGACATTTAAGCTCTTGCTTAAAACACAAAAGCAACATTATTTTTTAAAGATTAAATATAACATTAGGGCTGCAACAATCATTTTGTAAATCGATTAATCTGTCGATAATTTTTTGATTAATCGATTTATAATCGGATAGCAAAAGGTTCCGTTAAGAAAATGTTTTACAAATTAAACCCGGTGAAACTCAAACTTTTCCAATTGTGGAGGACAGAGCATACTGACAGATGAAAACTTTTTTTTACCTTAAATATGTTAAAAAATTTTTAATATATTTCTTAATATAATTACTGCTCTAAGTGGGTTGCTCTGTCAGCTAAAGGCATGTTTTATAGTCTCTATACTCCCGTTAAAAATGAATCGATTACTAAATTAGTCGACGATTATTTCAATATTTTATTACATTTACTTTTGGTTATTTTGATATGTAGACTAAGCAAAACCCATAAGATAAAATGCTTATTATACTATCATACTGCTGTGTTGCCCTGCATTTTAAACAGCAATATAAGCAAACTGTAAAAAATAGACCTCCTTTTGTTTCACCGTTTGTGTTTCTTTTGCAACAGGAAATATTTCTAAGCCGCAGCATCTATCTTTCCTGTAAATGAGGAAAACCTGCAGTATAAAAATGATCAATTTAGTAAAAAAAAGAAGAAGCTACAATTACCAAAAAAGGAAGCGGTGGCTCAAAGCCTGTGTTCTGCCTCTGAATACAGTTTCTCTAACATCGGAGTGCAACTAGATGCAATAAGTGACAAAAATGCGTTACATTACATTTTTTTAAAGGTGTACTTCCTATATGTTATTTGAGAGTATTAAAGGAAGTAGCAGTTGAGGCAGTTTTGCTTGGGTAGAAAATAGTTGGAGGAAGTAATCAGAGGGCTGAGCCAGATTCAAATTCTAAGAACCCTTCAGGAACAAGTGTAGTTTTGTTTTTAGTTTGTTTTTCAGGATTTAAACTCTTGATATAGGTCATGAGGACATGCATGCACTCTACCATCATACCCTATCAGCTTTATGCAAATAAAAAATGCATATTAAAGCATGTGCATCTGCTCCTATAATTTTTTAAGTAAAAGGTGTCAAAACTCACTGTTGCCAAGCCACAGGAGCTCTCACGGATAGTTGCACAGCAGCCAATCAGGCCGATGATGAACAGCAGAGTCCCTACAGCTATGATTACAATGGCAGGAATCAAAGTGTACACATCTTCAAAGAAATGGTCATAGTCATCATATGTGATAAACACATAGGCTCCAATGTAGCACAAAATCCCGGCAGCTGCCTGCAGAAAGATACAAAAAGACAAGAGTCAGACACAAAAATACAACCAAAAGCTGCAAAATTTTCATTTATAGGTCATTTGGGGATTAACTAAAAAAAAAATAATAACTTTCCATCGCATTATACAACAGCATTAATGTGGCTCAGAGGTCAGCTGTGGCTACCTGCTGCATTACATCACTGCTGCATCAACACAGCTGATAGCAGGAAACTGCCCACAGCTTAACCGGCCCTGCTATTAACTCCAAAGAAGCAATTGTGAAGTTAGAAGTGGAAGCATGTCCAGCCCCGCTTCTTGGAGCGCAGCTTTGCGCAGAGCGCAGCGCATTTCTGGCGCAGTCTGCTAAAATCCTCCCAGTCCTGGCCTCATCCTCAGGATGCTGCTCATTGTTCCACCATCTGTCGGTTTCTTACCCAAAATATGAGATTGAGGAAAACCAGGACGGTTTTAGACGACGTAATCCCACACTGTCCCATTGTGCCGTGACCACTTCTCCTATTGTTATTATTATCACTCGTTGGTTATGATTTTAGGTGCACCTGCACCATTCCTGTTAAAATAATAAAATGGCTTCGGTCTTTCTCACCGTGCAGATTCCTCCAGGCTCAACCAATCAAATTCCTGCAAGCGGATGATGGAGGTCACGTGTCGACTTGACGTCATCGTTCAAAACAAACAGCCCGAGGGCTCTCTGCACCGAAAAAGTACATTAATTCCCTTACTTTAATTGATTGGAAACGGATATTTTCGAGAGATTTTTCAAAGAATAATATATATTTTTTTTATGTATGTTTTTTTAAAGCACCTGTCTATAGTTCTTCTGTATAACTGTTTGTTTGTATATTTGTTTATTAGCAAAATGTTTCAATCACAAAAAAAAGCTCCCTGCACCCATTAGATTGGTGAAAGTTTGTCTCAGATACATCCAAAATATTTTAAAACTCATTCAAGGTCTTACATTTCTATTTTGTATATTCATACCAACAGAGGGATGCATTTTTAAAAGTTTGTATTTGATGATTTTGACTGTTATAGCATCTGGAAATAAAAAACGCCCATATAACTACTCAGAAATTAGAAAATAACATAAAACCATCCATCTATCTTCTACTGCTTGTCTGATAAGCTCATGGGTGCTGCTGGTGCCTATCTCCAGCAGTCTATGGACAAAAAGCAGGGTTTCTATACCAAGTCAGAGTCACCCTTTAACCTAAAAGCCATGTTTTATGAATTGTGGGAGGAAGCCAGAGTACCTGGAGAGAACCCACACATGCAGGAGGAGAACATGAAAAATCATGCAGAAAGACCCAGGGACAGGCTTTAACTAAGGACTTTATGATGCAAAGCAGCACTGCCATACAGCCCTGACATAAAACCAGTCGTTTTCCTTACTTTAGTTACAGAAAAGTTATTGTCATTTTATGCTCCACACTGTCATTGGGAAAGCCTGTACACTACAGCGTCAGCACTCTCCACAACAAAGGAAAACCACAACTGGTCTTTTTCAAAAAAGCTGTCTTTTCACAAAGTGCTATCCAAGCTTATTAACTGAAAGTTGTGTGGAAGGAAAAAGTCTATTTCTACTTGTCTTTTCAGGGTCACAGTATGATTTCTCCCTATCTGCAATAGTAATTGGCCAAAAGTCATGGTACACACTGAAAATGTTTTCATTCTACTAAAAACACACCTAAGGGCAATTTAAAGAGACCAAATGAGCCATTCATGTATAAGGAGAACATGAAAACTCAATTCAAAGGGAGCTCAGGGTGAGATTCAAATACAGGACCTTTATACCTATTACAAAGCTGGTCAACGGTGAAGCTAGGAATTGATTGAGTTATCTAAAAAAGCTTTTGAACATTTAAAGTCAGTGTCTAAAAGTGGCTCCATAGAGCATTTTGTGTTTAATCCATCCATCTATCTATGTTCCATCCCTGTTGGGGTCACAATGGGTGTTAGTGTCTTAGTCTTTATGTTTAACAGTAAGCTAATTATTTTTTTTAATGTTTTTTGTGTTTCTTCACTAAATTCCAAATGGTAAATACACAAACACTTCACAGGTACTGGAAGCCTTAATGCAATTTCTCACAAATACAACAAATAGATAAATTAGAAAAATTAAATTACAGAATAGATTTTGTTTAGACAAGGAAAGAAAGCAATGTCATGCAGATATCACATTTTTTATTTACATTTCACACATTAAAGCTGGACAGAATAGATGAACATTTTTGACTTTCTATTTCCCTCGAGTATTATTAAGATAACATACCTAAAATAGATGGTTTTACTAGTTTTAAGGCAGCAAGATCTTGATTCACTGTTAACCATCTGTTGCTGCTCTTCTCATGTTCAAGCTGCAGTAGGAACTGTTCTCTATGTCTGCCGGGATGCTAAAAGAATACAAAAGACAGTTGGATGAATAGGTTTTTGAGTAAATTTACTTTCTAAATTGATAGATTTTGTCCCTTGATTGCTTATATTAATTTCCATCCTGATTGAACCAGAAAACATTTTCTATTCTATTCCATTCTATTCTATTCTATTCTCTCTGGTCAAAATAACTAAGGATTGGACCAGTAACCTGACATTTGAAAATGTATATGAATTGATGTAAGAAATGTATTACAAATGTAAAATAATAAATTGTTTAATTCTTCTTAATCTTTCATTATTTAACCTGGATAAAGTTACAATTAGATTAGGAATCTCTTACAAGGAAGTGTTGGTCTAGAGATTCCAACAAATTACGTTCTATTTGTGAAGAATCTCAGCTGTACTCTTTCACTGCCACCATATAAATCATATCTGAAATACGATTAATAGTTTGATAATCATTAGGAATAAAGAATAGACCTTTTAAAAAGATAAATGCTCCATTCTGACTATACCCTTTCAAAAAGCCTAATTTATTTATCTAATCTGACAAATGATTTTTGACCAAAACATTTAATACAGGTCAGGGCTGAATTTGTACCACTGAATATTATATGACTTTAATCAATCTTGTCGCTCTCCTACCTTTTTTCTTCTTTTTTTTAATGTATTTTTAAAGCCCTGAAAATTAACTCTTCAGTCAGTATTGGAAAGCCATTGCAGTTAATGTTTTCATACCAGAGGGTGGCAGTGTATCATCACTAGTTTTACACAATGGGTTTGTATTTTATGATGAAGTACTCAGGCGATTTTGGATGTTGGGAAAAAGAAGACTTTTGAGGATGCTTATTTAAATAACATAAATATTCTAGATGTAAATAACTGCAGAGCATATTCATGTTGTGCCCCACGTGTGATAGAGACATATTAATAAAGAGCTGTGCCACTCGCTCAGTCATGACTTGACTCAATGCCCAAAGCCTTGGTTTTATTGAGTAAACTCTTGCTGCATTTGTTTCTGTCAGCGGTTGGTGTTCAAGCTGAACTAGACGGAAACTAACAAACATCAGAAGCTACGTCTATCTGCTGATAGTGCATACACCCTCACTGTGAAGTTAACAGAACGTTTAATTGCTTATTATTGTGCTATTCTTAAAACAGCTTTTACAAAGGCAGGTAAGCTCATACCTAAAAAACAAATGAAGAAAAACAGGACCCAGAAGGTAAAGACAAGTCCATCAAGTAAAGACAAGCACCTCTTTAAATTAACACAGACCTTAAGTTCACCTAATTACAAAATGGTGAAGGCAGAGCAATGATATAATCACTCAAGCATTTACTATTACACCTGTTCCTACAGGCAATCAAATGGAGCAAATGTAAAAATCATTTTAATTACAGAAAGATAGAATTGTGTGAGGATGCTCACGCTAAAGTAATCTGGAATTTATCACTTATTAAGGTGTGAAAGAGAGAAGATCATTTATCACACCAACAAGCAGCAACATGTTTGCCAGTCCAGAGGGGTACTGAGATTGTTCATGAAACAGGACATGAAATTATCACTTCCAAGTTCATCGACTATTTCTGAGATGCATTGATGGGAATGACACCACAATGACCTTAAAATATATGTAACTGACTTCTTTAAAGAGGTATAGCAGACTACGTACAAAAAACTACATAGGTGAGGCAGCAAATTAGAATAGAACAGATATAACCTTTATTGTCCCTTGTTTGAGAAACGTAGGTATACTAGCAGCAAAGAGACAAAAAAGAGGAAAATCAGTGCAGATTAACATCAATGTATAAACCGAAAGAATTAAAGAATATATATATAGAGAGAGAGGAAATAAAAACAGCAAGAGGAAAGCTTTGCAAATAACAGCAGGGATGTTAGCATGTCTTGTGTTTGTTTGGAAGCTGTGACGTTTATGAGGTCTAAGAGCTTCTAGGAGGAAGGATCTGCCATAGCGCTCCTTTGTGCATCTATAGGACTGAAAGTACCCGTCACAGTGGGAAGAAACATCTTGATGGGTTAAAATGGATGCCCCAGCATCATGATGTGGGGATTTTTTTCCTGTCAGGACATGGTGGCTGATCGGAGTAGATGGGATAACTGTTGCAGCTTAACACAGGGTAATGCAGTAGGACAGCATATTGGTGTGAGCTATTTTAAGGTCAAAGTCTTGTGCAAGAATGACTCAGTTTATTAAAAGTTCCCTAAGAGTCTGCGTCAGAGAGTAAAATGTGCTGTTCACAGATGCTCTCCATCAGATCTAACTGAGCTTGAGCTCAATTAAAAGAAAAATTTTTAAAAGATGTCCATTGCTGAAACAGGAATAACAAAGACAACACAGAGCCATAACAGAATTAAAGAAGGAAAAGTGGATTTTCTTATAAATAGTTGGATGGAAGTGTGTTCATTAACAGAACTGTTAGAAGATTAATCATCTGTTTCAGTTAAATGCCAAATGAACCACACTCATCCCTCCATTTTCTAAACCTTCTTCTTTATCAGGATGGACCACATATGTGGAGCGACCCAGTAGTCCCATTTGGGATTCTGGAACAAAAGACTTAGCTTTGGACCCTTTTGCTTGTGGTGGAAGGAAGTTGTAATTAAACCAACAACCTCCTTAATGGCAATTTTTTTCTGGTCCTTCTAATTCATCTACTCCCTCTAACCACTGTCAAAAGAGATACAAACCTGAGGGTTGTCTTAACTGTGTCAAAGAAAAAAACCTTTCTTCCCTCTGTCATAAAACTCTTTCCCATTCAGCAGGATGAGTTGATAGACAAATAATCTGATGTTTTTTTAAGTACATTTCCAAACAGAAATATTTTCAAATAATTTTCTCCTATTGCCTATGATGAAAGCAAACTGTAAATTTATAAAGAAACATGGCAGGTACAAGAATTTCAGATAGTAACATCTACTTAGTCCTTGGGAAAAGACAACAGCTCTTACAGTCCCTTAGGAGTGATGAAGCACATGCTCAGAAGGTGCGAAAACACAACCTCAACAAATAACAATTTTATCCAAACATGTTTGGATCTGCAACTTCAATCATGAGACACAGAATTACACATTTATAACACCCCCTCCCTCCATGCATCACCAATATAGCCAAAGTCTAATTATTCTATCAACATACATAACTGCATTTTGTAGCAAGCCTAATAGCCTGCCATTTTAGATTAATTACAAATTCAGTTTTTAATTGAAGTCCCCATCCTAATACTCGCTGTAATATTGGAGAAAAATATTTTGCTAGAGGACACATTTTAACCCCAACAATACAGCAAAGATATTATCCAGAACATAGTTTCTTGCCTTTAGTGGCCTCTTGTTAAATAAATTGAATCCTATTTTCCAAGGCCTACTAACCTACTTTTCTACATTTTTGCACCTGGAGATGTATTCTTAAAGCTGGTGGTTTGAGAGGCCATATTTCTACTAACCTATATGTACACATCAAGATTTAAGTCCTTAAAAACAAAATAATTCTGATGTTTTTAATGTTGATTTTAAAGTTTATACTTTAACCCTGAAGAATGAAAGGGGGAATTTAGATTAACACCTCTTGTTAAATAATTGTTAGCCTGTCTCAACCACATGACAACAGCCTTAAAAATTACCCTGACAGCTTAATAGGCATTTGTAAGAAGTTATTAGACAAAGTCTGTGAAATCAGAAGAAAAATAACAGTTTCCGGATTAGATCCTGAAGGTTCACTTAGGGACACCCAAGCATCTCCTGACAGCAGACCTCTGAAAGCTTCAGACAATGTGCAAATTTTATACTTTGAATATATAAAAAGTAAGACGGATGGGGCATTGTGGGAACGACACTGAAATAGCCTGATGTATTAAACGGAATAGACTATTGCCCAAGGCAATAGTCTATTCCGCATGAACCATCTCACTTTGCTTCTATTGATTGAGAGATCAAACTTTTATGCAGAGGAAAGAAAAAGCAATCGATTTTATGTTGAAATGCTCAGGGAGCTAAGAAATTTGATTTATGTAAGCTGCCTACATGAGTACTTATATAAGAATGAACAGACACAAAGTAATAAAACAAACAAATGTTGGTAATGGCTCTATAAATAAGAGAAAAGGTCACATTAAACCCCTTGTGGAAGGAAATCTAACAGAGCAGATTCTGAAATCTTTGGACCAACACATTCTATCAGCTGTAATTGCTTAAAATGTCTTATGTTCATTTGAGAGCTGGTGGTCAAATCTTTTGGCTCCTAAATAAATAAGAGTGTGAGTCAAGCTTATTTCACCAGAGGGGGTTTTGGGTCATTCTTTTTTAGCATTGCCCAGAGGAACATTTAGAGGAGAATTAAAATGCTTTATTTTTTAGTTAGAGTTCATCCTTATATAATATACCTGCTACATTTTCAGTTTTTTATTATCAAATAAAAAGAGCCCAAATAAATAAACAACATGTAATGTATATATATTGACTGAAAAAAAACAGTTTAATGTGACAGGTTGGTGGTTACAGCAGATTTTAATCATTACGAGCAGAAAAATAATAGCTTGTTTCTGGATATTTTATTTGCAAATCATTTTAGGTCTCCAGTCCATGCGTGCCACCGCCAAACTTCATCGTCACTTTTTGCTCTGGATGTAGTTTTCTAAGATCTTCGCTAGAAACTCCGCTTCCTGAAACAAAAAGTGGAAACATCAAATGAGATTTGAGAAAAGAATGATAAAAAATAAAAATAAAAAAATCAGAAAATAAAATTGAGAGAAGGTAAACTTTTCTGCCTTTACCTGATTTTTCAAACGGCTCTCGTCTGTGTCCACCTGCGCCTTTAACGCCACCCGCAGAAACTCTTGGAAAAGCTCCCCAAGCGAGCTCTGCGCGGCCGGGAGACTGACTTCCAGCGCACCCACAGCCCGCTCCTCGGGGGAAGGCAGCAGAGGGGTTTCCATCACACTTTTCTTCCCCATAAAATGCCCTGCCAAACCAAAAATAAAAACAAAAATCCCTCATTTGACTTCTATCCACGTTGACTGGACAATTTAAAGGGAAAACATCTGAGAACCCGACTGAACATGTGCGTAAAAGTTTCAAACTTGATATTGCATATTTAAAACTTTGAATATTTCTGTATCTTACCTGTTGCCCAAAGATTGCCTCTAGGATTTACTTTGATTTTCGCAACTTTATTCCTCAGCTCAGTCAAGTCGAAACTGACAGCAGCACTCAAAGACATGAAAGAGAACAAGACGAGATAAGTAAATAAGCCACAGTGGCAAACATTTCTAAGCGTGAGTCCTCTCATCTCAAGCAGGACTGTGGATCGGTTCTCCTTAGCGCAGTTTTTTTAAAATATTTTTTTTCCCCAAACGGCTCCTGTTAGTGATGGATCGCTGCAGATTCATCCTGCTTTTATAGCTTCTATTGGATGGGGTGGGCTCTCTTAAGGGGCTGCGCTTACTTCTCATTCACTGCTGCGTAAAGATGAGACCAGAAGGATGTGCGTAATTTAGGACCTAAACGAAGGTGTAAAAAAACATCAGCATCACATTCTATTTTTTTTTTTAGTCTTGGACTTACTTTCATGTGGATTTTATTATATTTGAACAAAACGAAAACTGAATTAATTTCTGCACAATTGTATTATTTTACGCGCTTTCGTCCTTATGGCTTGCATACGGAAGAGGATTGTTACTGTTTTTTAAATTTTATCTCAGTATAATATGTGAAAAAAGTCAGAATTCTGAGATTAAAGTCAGAATTCTGACTTTCTGAATTCTGAGTCAGAATTCTGAGGAAAAAAGTCAGACTTTTTTCTCAGAATTCTGACTTTTTTCTCATAATATACTGATATAAAATTAAATAATTAGTTAACTTTTTTTCAGTGGCCCTAATCTTCTTCGGTACTTACCGAATGAAACTCATGAATTCTGTTTATTTTAGCCTATATATGTGAAGCCATCATTTAATTCCTTAAATGTTGTGCATTTCGGCTCGGGTTGCATCTCTGATAAACAAAATGTAAATTGCTCAGGTTCACCTCATATCTACGTTCCAGTGGCCCAATTTGACCCGTTTACATCAGGCCAATGGCGTAACTATCGGTAAGCAGGGACTGCAGTTGCTTAGGGACCCCCATCCTCTTCGGGGCCCCCTGCGCAATTGTATACTAGGATGTCTCTTTGCAGATGTAATGGTGTAAAAAATTCCTCTTAAATCCACCTGATACTGTACAGATTGACCTTATTTATACCCCAACACATGGCAGATTTCAACATGATAGTGAGCAATTTAAACACGACACCAATAGCAAAGCAGACAGTGGTACTTTTAATTACTATGTTAATAACTATGTATAGTTCATTAGACGGTTGGTAAAAAATACACTCATATAATATGTTTCAAACCGCAATAAAGATCTTAAAAGAACGATGTATTTGAGTATTTTATTTTTTACAATACGACTTGGAATTAGTATAGATTGGGGTGTTGTAGCCTACTTCATGGGGCCACCCAGATAATGTTGCTTATTGTTGTGTTGTTACGCCATTGCATCAAGCCATATGACATTTGGCCAGTTGAGCCATGCTACTACGCTCATCGTCACTTCCAAGAGGACAGGAGAACCTGCTGATTCTCACTGCTAATTTAGAGCTGATGAGACAGATGGCCTCTTCCTCACTTCAGGGTGCTAAAGTTGGGGTATTGTGAAGGAGCCGCAGCTTCTGTCTTGCTCTTTTAATAACCTTTGACATTAACACGCATATTGAGATTTGGTAAATTCTGCACAGTTGAATGTCACTCTAATTAGAAGACTGTCTGAACATCACAGCATCACAGTGCCCAAGCTCAGAAGTTGAATGGACCAGGCCAAGACACTTGCCTTGGCACTTCAGCATCAAAGCGACTGATGTATAGATGCTGAGGTAGAGCTAAAATACATAGTTTAGGTTTAATTAACCTTGTGTTACGTATTGGTTTATCATGACCACTGGTGTGACAGCATATTGGAAAACTAAATGGTCATTCTGACCTCTGAACACAGTTAAACATGGCACTCGGTAAAACACCTCTTACATGTTCCTACTTTATTTTCCTGGTTTTTAACTTTATGAAAGATAAACGACTTCTTAACTAGGCTTGTGAAGCTGTTAAACTGAAATTTGAACCTCCAGATTAAAACTGAGGTTTTCTGCAGCTTCTAACATTTTTTCTCACCCAGGGGCGGATTTAGTAAATTTGGGGCCCTAGGCAAACACAGGCAGGGGGCCCTCTGAATTGAGAGGACAACACATAAAACACACCTATTATACAGATAGAGAAATTTGAAAAGAATTGACATACATTATTTGTTCTACGTTTTGTCCCTCTCTTCTTGTTGTTTTCCTCTCTATGTTTTTTACTCAGCTGACTTTTCATTCCGTTTTAAAAGGAATGAAAGACTTTTTCCAAGAACTGAGCTCACTTAGCTGATTGCTCCTTCCTGTGTTTCCAAAAAGGCGACAGCAAAAGTAAATAACCCAGTCCTTTTTTTCACTGTAGACAAGCCATGATCTGCTTATCTGTTCTCCATTTTCAGTTAAATGAAATAATAGCTGCATGAATCATAACAGCAGACAAGAGAGAGGAGAGCCAATCTACTTGCTCTGGAGAGCAGAGCTCGCTGCATTTATATGTTGTCGCCAAAGTCTCCAGTAGCAGAAAACAGTTGCTAGATTTGCTGTTGGGTGCTTTTTTGAAATGAAAGTGCTAGAGGGGTCTGAAAAGTTGCTAAATATAGCGACAAAAGCTCTACGTTGGCAATACTGCTCTTTGCACCGTTTCTTTTCAAATGGTTTGCTGCTGACTATTTGGACATTTCTGAACATGTGCAGCAAATGGACTGATTCAATATGGTGGACAGTGAGACACACTTCATTTTATAAGCGTTCTGATGGCATTTTAGCGAAAGGATCTTTATCAAAAACACAATTAATGTGCACAAATAAGGAATAGTTTTATTAGCCATACATATAGAGTTTTATGGGGCACCCATGAACTTGGGGCCCTAGGCAACTGCCTAGTATTGCCTAATGGTAAATCTCTCCCTCTGTTCTTACCCTGTATTTTAAGAACTTTTCCATTAACTGTGACTGTAGCCTCTGTCCTTGCTGGAAAATTGTATCACCTCAGCATTATGCCATCACCACCATGTTATATGGCAGGAATTGTATTTATTATTGTATTTAATTGTAAAATGGATTCTGAATTTATCCCATTGTTCTCAAAAGAACACTTACACTCATTTCAGTGTAAATTGTCAAGTGTGAATGAGACAGAAATGCGAAGAATTTAAAGACCTTTTTCTTCAGTTTCCAGGACCACAAAACCACAAGATGAGGCAGGATTTACTTTCCATATTCCTCAGCTGGTAAAAGCCTGTACCCTGAAATCCTGAGAAAATCCTGGAAAGATGTTTATTTACAGCAGCTCTTAATCAAAGAATAAATCATAGAATCTGTTTGAGAAATTTGTAATTCATATTCTTTGTTAAACATTTATTTGCCTCAGAAATGTCTTTGTTATGCATGGGGCTTTATAAACAAACTTGTCCTGCCCTACAGACAGAATCAGTTTTAGTCTTGCTAATTTAACTAATTAAGCATTTATTAAGGTTAATCTAAAATAGCTTATAGTTTTCGTTGCATATTGAAGTTTTTTTTTTTTTTTTTTTATAATACAAGACCACTTTACTGTCCCCATATAAAATATAGGATAGAAGGATATTCCACCCATATAAACCAACCGACAGATCTCCAACTTTGGCCATTAAGACATTTACCAAAATAAGCCCTTTTCTTACAAAATGTGCAGCATAATCTTTAAAAAGTTACCTTTTATAGTTAACTAAACTGTTGGGATGCTTAATATTGAAAACTTGGTTTATAGGAAATCTTTCAGTCTGAAAAAATATCTTTAACAGTTACATTTACTAGATTTTTGGAAAGAGTTCATAAAGAAACATTTTACCAAGAACTTTGAAACGTTTATTTTAATGTAGGTCTCTCAGTGATGACATACACTATTTTCATTTCCAATACAGACTTGTAAAAAGGTTTGTTAAACATATCGTCATAAATCTACAAATCAAAATGAAGTTTTTTTTTCTTTCCAAAAAGGATGAACCGTTTACATTAATAAAAAAATTGGTCCTGTTGTGAGGGGCCAAACAAAATACAACAGTTTATGTAACTAGAAAATTATGCTAACCAGATAACATATTAAGTTAATTTTCAGTTGCCACAATACACTTCCAGACACAATAAATGAATAGGAAATTCACAAAAGCTCATTTATTTTTAAGAATGCCATTTCACCTTTTGAAGATAACATACTAAAGTGAACTTTAACTATATTATCACAAAAATATTTGGACTTTTGAGAATGCAAAGACTAACCATGTTTCTACAAAAAAAAAAAATTAACAAATGGTAAAAAAAAAAAGAACAATTATGTTGGTTTTGAAAAAGTAAATCTGGTTTGAAAGGCATGACTGAGGTTTTCTGGACGCAGTTTATAGCCATCTTTAGTGCTGATTGTCTCACTCCCGGTGGACCAAAACGAAAAGACCCAGCATGAAGAGCACAGCATACTGAGGGAAGCAAACAAACCAATACTTTAGACACAACAGATCCAAACTAAAGCAAATAAATAACTGTTACCTATTAGAGAAGAAACTTACTTTGAACTTTGGGTAATCATTCATGAGGATGGTGACAATCCCAATATATGGCACAAACCTGGAAAATATAAAACATTGTCTTACTGATGTATAATGTAAATTTGTTTGGTTGTTCTCTATTCCTAACCACTCAAATCATTTTTCACAATCTTTAAAAAAAACTTTGATCCATTAATTCATCAACTGGTAGGTTTGAAGAAGCTGGAATCAAACCAACAACAGTTCTCATCGCAGAACCGATCCACAGCTTTTCCATCTGGTAATAAAAGCAGCCAAGCAATTTTTAAAACAGTCAAGCAAATATAAATCAATTTATTCTATTATTTCCACACTGTCTACACTAACTACTATTCCAAAAACCTCTAGCGCTTTCCATACTATGTGTAAGTGCAGCTGCATTGTAACTGATCCAGTCTTTACAATATTCAGTAATAGGCTCATGATTACATGGTTTCCTGATATTAATGAGCCAAGCTATTAGATCCTAAAATCCCTCCTTTAAATAAGTTTAAATAGAATCCGAACTGATGAGAGCTAATAGTACTACCTGTTATAAAGGTATATTTAAAAAGAAATCCAAGAAGTTTCTTACTTTGAATTTGAAGAATAGATTAAGAACATCAGGCTAAACCTTGAGAGCGAGGTGGAATTACCATTTAGCTGGGGTAACACGACAACTTTATCACTGGGTGCTCACACCAAGACATCATTTTTGTCACAACTGGGTAATAAGGGCTGCAACTAAAGAATATTTTGCGAATGAATTAATCTGTTGATAATCTTTTAAGTTAATAATCAGAAATCCAAGGGTTCCTTAAAAAGGATTCTTCTTTTTTACTAAATTAAACATGGTGAAACTAAAACTTTTCCACTTCAGCAGTTCTGGATAGAGCATATTGACAGGCAAAAATGTTTTTTAATCTTAAATGCAAACTGTTTATATATTATTATGTATACAATTTTGATATAATTACTGCTCCAAATGGGTTGCTCTGTCAGTTAAAGGCATGTTTTAGATTCTCTATGCTCCAGTTAATATTTTGAATACTAAATTATCACATTATTATTTCAATAATCGATTAATCCAATTGTTTAGTCCTAGATTTAACAGTCAACTTTTCAACAGAACAGAATATGGGATTGCTTTTTAGAGACCAATTGAAGGGAGCAACAGTTTGAAGGAACAAACATGCCAGTAGGTGCAGTAATACAAGATATTCTTAGATATTCAGATAGGATAAATTACTGTTCATCTTTCTCACAAACTGAAAAAATATGATATAATCTAAAATATGTCAAGTTTAATCCACAACTGAATATGTTCTAGGTAATGTTTATCGTATTGCTGGTTATAACGTCATTGAAAATATTGAGCATGTATTACAGAATGTTTGTGGGTTTTGTAATTACTGTCACTGTAAGTTTTAATCGGAAATTTTTATTTTAAAGAACATTTCGGCTGGAAATATGGATCAGTCAAAAACAAGTGAAGCGAGTTTAGTAAACATGTTTATTCAACATGGAAATACATCATTCAGAATAATAAGATTCATTAATTTAGTCCCGTTAACTTTACATTCAATATATAAGCTATCAAGATGCTCCCCCTTAACGTGTTTTAGTTATAAATACGAGTATCTCTGTTATGTTTGTTTTTCAGCACTTTGTTATTGAAATTACTTATAACCAGTGCTGTTTGACGTTTATGTTCATTTTATTGGTTAGCTACAAATAAAGTTTAGAAAATATCCAGATCAAAGCTGCTGTCTATGCTTTTATTCTCCACTGGCCTTTGGCAACCCATACATTTACAGTTGGTTCTGTTATTAGTTATGGAGGACCAACTCTGCCATATTTAAAAATAAATACAGAAATAAATAAATGCTCAATAAATATATAAGCATACAATTAATTGCCAACAAAAATACAACAAACAAATAAATGTAATTAGAAATTAAATTATACAGTGAGACATAAATGTATATAACTTTTAATTGGCTTCTTTATTAATTAGTTTACACTGCATGACAGCTAACAATTAGATCTTAAAATTTCAGATTGCTTGACTGTGACTGAGGTAAGCTCAGTTTTTTTCTGACACTTGCAAACTCATCATCAAACAGATTTTAGCTGCGACTCTAAAGGGGGACTGACTGCAAGTGTGGCCGAAACAGAACAACTCTTGCATTCACTGTATTAAAAATGTGAGATACTGCCATTCCAGAGGTAGCATGTAGAAAATCTCTATAAAGTACATTAAATGATCGTTCTTTGCTGCAATTCCACAACTAAAAACATGCTAATACATTCAATGATTACAATTATTAGCCTAGTGACCCTGCATTACATAAGCCCCCTTTTTCACTACCTCTCAAAAACGGATCAATTATCCTGCATGTGATTCAGAATCATTATGTGTCAGTGACGAATAAAGCATGCAGGAATGGCGGGCTCAATCGAGGAGGGGGGGCATCCGCCTTCGATTATGGTAGGGGAAAGACCAAATCTATTAGCTTGCAAGCAAAATTCCCAAACTCCCCCCAAATACATCTTGCCAGGAGCAAGCAGATGCGTTAACCTCAATACAGAAATGTTTCGGACCGACAAAATGCAGTAACATGTATGATGTCAGCGCATCAAGCAGAGGCTGAAGCAAAACAAACATGGCTGTGCAGGTTTTAGCTGGAATACACGCCATCTCTTTTTGAAATACAAACAAAAGGAAACGATTTTTGCCTTTGTGGATAGAGGGATGTTAGCATGTTCTCCCTGACCGCATTTGGTAAGATTTTGATTTATAAGTCTACTCCGCTAGTTGCGAAAGAATTCAGCTGCTACAGCTGCTGTGATTGGCTATAAACTCGACATGAGAGGCAGATATGCAATCCGCTCGCAGAATTGTACCGAATGTCCCTCTATTTTGTGAACACCTAATTCTCAGTTGCCACAATACAAGAAACAATAAAACAATAAAAAAATAAATGAACAGAAAATTCATAAAAGCTGATTTATTTTTAAGAATGCCCTTTCATATTCTGAAGATAACATACTATGATGAACTTTAACCATATTCTCACAAAAAATATGTTTCTACAAACTGTTTGAACAAAATGTAAAAAGGAAAATAATTTTGTGTTTGACAAAGTAAATCTAGTTTGAAAGGCATGAATGACTTTGATGATGATTAAACTTACACTGCTGTTGCAAACTAGACAGATTTGACCAGAGAGGTCAAAAAACAACTGAACTATCAGTGTAGTAGCAGCCATTGTGCTTCCTCATATCCAACTAATCCAAAGAAAAGAATTTAAAAAAATTATTCTTAAAACCACTCCTCTTACAAGCAGGTATCTTTTGTATAAAACACATCCACTGATGCAACACACCACTATGTGCCTGATGTGTCTTCAACTCAAAAAGATGTCGCAATGATTATGACTAGACATTTCAACAGGCTACATTTTACACTTGAGATGGTTCTGCTTTGTCTTGGGATGTTTTAAAAATAGTGAACGACTGATTAAATTAAAGCCAAAGAGCAGCTAAGATTAAAATATTTAGACTGAATCCAATTTACAAATATCTCTTAACTGCTTTGATTGATTATGAATCTGAAAGATATGCCTGTTTTCAGCCCTGCATGGTAAGGAAATAAAACATTAAAGGAACAAGGGCTTGGCAATTAAATACATTTGCAATATAATTGCAATTTAAGAAAACACGATTTTCAAATCGCAGAGGCACTGACTTTTAATCACACTATTTTTAACAAGAGTAAGAGATTAAATTTCTCCCTCCAGGCCTTTAGATGGTGTTGAAGTGGGTTTGTCGTCACACAGAAAGGAGGAAAGAGTTGCAGCCAGCACACAAATTCACGCATGCAAGTAAAGGTAAACACTTTCTCATACAATGGTTACAGAAATGCCATGTTACAATAGACTCTGGGAAAGCAAGCTTTCAAAAACCAAAAGCCTGGTTTCTACAAGTGCAAATGAGAATCAAAATAAAATCGAAATTTTGGCAAAAAAATAATCGCAATTTAGATTTTAGTCAAAATCATTCAGCCCTATAAGAAACTATAACAAGTGCAACAAATGTGAAAATATTCACCCGATTCTTTACTTAATATTTTGTGATTTGTCAAAAGAGGAAATAAAAGCTTATTCTGTCCAAAAAAAAGGTCAGATTTTATAAAAATCCACTTAGTTTTAATGTGAAGCCTTGTGGTTGTGAAGAAAATTATACCAACTAACTGTAGAAAATTAGTAAAACAACTTACCCCCTCGCTCGTCCCACCACATCCTTTTTCTCCAGCCAATGTTGGCCCTGCTTGTACAATCCTCTGTCATCGACTGCATTGTTGTCTCCTTTGGTCAAGAACTTAATGTCACCATTTTCCCTGTGAACAAAACAACAGCCTCATTTCCAGAACACAGAGGATGCAAAACCTCTTTCTCGACCTTGGTGACATGATAAGTTAGAAAGGTCACAGAGGTTTCTCTGAGAGTAATTCTGGTAGCAAAAAATAAATAAATAGCATTAAAAAAAAAACAGGATTCAAAGAAAGCTTTTATATCAAAATATGCATTCATACTTTTCATGGATCTTCAGCACTCTGTGTACTATTGGGATTTCTCTGCCTTCTATCCTGAAGACAACAATCTCTCCAACTCTGATGGGGTCCTCCACTCGATTGGTCAAAAACAGAAGATCCCCTCTGTGAAAAGCTGGTTCCATACTCCCACTAAAATAAACAGGTAAACAAAAACAAGAAAAGTCGGTTTCATTAAAATATATTTTTATTTGTTCTTAACATAAAAGGATGAGACTGGATAACATTACATTAATAAAACCAAATAAACATAAATACCAGAAGCAAACAGCATATGTTCATAAGCACTTAAAGAAAAGGTAAAAGCAAGAACTCAAAAACGTGTTTAATCCAAATTCAAAACAGAAATAAATACTAGGTTTACCTGAGGACAACAACAATAGGGCTTTCGCTGCCAGTGACAACCATCAGTCCTTTCCAGATCATCAGCGCAGAAGACACAATCATACCGAAGTTCAAAACCTGGTAATACAACTGAGAGCAAACAATCTCATTCAATAGGCAGAAATAAACAAAAGCATGTTATCTGGAGAATATTTGTAAAATCTGTAAAATCATTTTACTAAAGAGTTCTATGTGTACTGTGAGTTTCATGGCCTTCAAACAGTTTGTGGTGTAGCTAATGTTGCTTTAGTGTTATTTTTAGGGCTAAAAAAATAAAATAAATGTAAGCACATTTAAGCAAAGTAAAAGGTGTAGTATGATCAGAATGAGGCCCTATGTGCGTTCTGTGCCTCTGATGAGGCCCACCACAGTACTGTCGTGAGTTATTGCTAATTTTAAAGTTACTTTATTAATTAAAACAATATTACTACGTAGGAATTAGCTACTTAATATAATACAAAAGTCATTCAAATGAAAGCTACAGGGTTTTAGGAAATTCCTTCAATATCCAGGAAAGGTATATGAAATATGTGACCAATATGAAATATGTGAGATCATATAAAGTGATTTTGATGATAACATACTTGTCCTGAGTAGAGCTTTTGAATAGTTTTACATTTTTGGCAGGGGATTTTCATTAAAGAGCCCAGAGACCAGTGCCAGTATCTCTGCTCGTTTAAAGGAAAATACGATTGTATTTCACTGTCTGCCTTCCTGTGCATGCAGAAAGGTTTCGATTTTGTAGAAGAAATGCTCCACAGATAAGTAGTTGGTCCAAACAGCCGAATGTGTGAATATCTTTATAACTTTGCTTTAGTCGGAGCAACATCTGTCGACAGCAATGGGGAAAACAGCCTGCTACAGCTTGTGCTGTATAATAAACAAACGGTGTTATATTCATTTTTGAAGCGTTTTAAATTAATCTCCCCAAACGCAAAAGCACATTGTTTCAATCTGCAGAGGGTTTGTCAGGAGAAATGAGCGGCGTTTATAAGGCGCGGAGCGGCTTGTTGTGGTTAGCTTAGAGGTACTCAACGCACAAAGAGACAGACGTTAGATGAGAAGAAGCTAAAGCTGTGATACCTACCTGACGCTTATTCATGCGTCGAACGTCGTCGAGAAAGTCTAAAGATAACATGTTTGCTAATACTACACAGTAGAAAACAGTCTAAATTACATTAATATGTTACAAGTAGCGGGCATATGGATGCAGGCAGCGAATCTTCCGGGTCCTTGCAACCGGAAGTCCCGCCCACCTGTGAGAACTGGGTTGAGGTGTCGCTTCTGGATACGAGAGTTCACAGTGGAGGGGCTTTCCAAACCACACACAGTTATATACATTGAAATATATATATATATATATATATATATATATATATATATATATATATATATATATATATATATATATATATATATATATAT